CCTCGTTCTGCCCAAAGGTAAAGACATAGTTATCAGCGCCATTTATCAGGTATACCATTTTAGTATAAACTTGTTTGAAACCGGGTAGAGCCCCTTTTTCATCTTAATTAGACAGTAACCCATTGATTCCAAGTGGGCCTTCATTTTCTAATTATTTAGTACATAATATAATGTCATTAAACATCTTTGAGTGGACAGGATTGCTCTAAAAGCTTTCGCTCCAGAGCTCTAATATTAGGCTTTTGGCATTCATCCCTGTGTGTGAAAAGCAGTCAGTTTGTTTACCAGGAATTTAGATTCACATTACTGGGGGAATTAGCAGTGAGCTATTAGCCTGATTCAAGCACTTAACAATTGCTGATCATCTCCTCCTAGCCTGGGGATAATGGAGGTGATCAGCTGTAAATGGAAGGTATGTGGGGCTATTTTCATGAAGGCACTTGGAGAAAGTGCTGCATCCCCTGACCTCTGCTAACCCTGGGGTTTGCAAGAAACCCAAACACCAAGTGGCTTCCTGGAGGAGGGCTAATCACCTCGAAGAAGAGCTTCCATTAGAGACAAAACCAAGCTCAGCCTCAACAGACCCTCCCTCATCTGCAAGAAGGTTCAGCCACAAAATCCCTGAGGTAGAAGTGATTCAACTCTGATCGTATTTACCAGTATCTGCTTCCATGGGGGAAGCAACTGTAGAATAGCGGCTGGTTTTGATTCCACAGCAGTGCTGAATGATCCTGTTGAGCTCGGTGGTGCTGGCTGGCTTCTTGCTTCTCCACTGTTGACCCCAAAAGCTTTGTCTGGTTCAGGGACACCTGAAAGACGACTCTGAAAGTTTTCCTTTCTTCTTCTTGTCTAAAGTTGCCTACCATTTTAGCAAATAGAGTGACTTGTGATTTTTAGGATGTATTGAAAAAGATACTTTCATTCTTCATAGGTGTTGAACCTGTAGTGTTGTAACTCGAAGTTACCTTTTATTGTCAGCAGATGTTAAGAGGCATGCCAGGGATCCGTAGCCAGGAATTACTCTTTGAAGCAAAGCTTAGCTTTTCCTCATCTGCAGTACATATTGTGCCCCCCTTTAAAAGGAAAACTGCAGTAACTTGATTCTTACTGAAACATATGCATTTGTTGGAGGCTGTGGGAATGATTTTAATGAGGCAAGGACACAATAATTTTGGACTTCCCAATTCAAGGCTTATCTCTGCCATCACCTTGCTTATGACCTCGGGCAAGAAATGCGTATTGCTTCTCCCACTTGTCCCACAAGAAACAACTTACCTAACACAGTGACTGAGCTCGCTGCTGGAGAAGGACTACGTGAATGCCCTTTGTAAATGCTACATTAGACCATGTTAAGGGATCTAAAGCTATGTCAGAGTTCTAGAAGCCACGTCTGAAGTACCTGACAGTGAGTGATGTCTGTAAAAGTTGTTAAGATTGCTTTGTAAGAGATTCTGTCTAACTCTGTTCTTTAAATTTCTTTCCCATAATGCCTCCAGCAGTAGGAGACAAGGAATGTAGCTTCTATTAAATGCAAAGGAAGGCCCAAGACTTCTAGAGTTGCAAGATAAATTTTATTAGTGAGTTTTGGCATTATTTTACACTTTTAAAAATAATCTACATTACAACAATTAGAAGGTTCCCTCCTTGTATATGCTTGCTGAGAGCTCAATGTTAAGACTGTCAGGATAGAGAATTTTTATTAGATTATTTTTTTGTATTTAGACCAAAGGTACTCACAGGATGCTGTATTCCAGTTTCTGGGGAATAGAAGCTGAGGGGTTTTTGTAAGTTGCCCTGTAGTCTGGCTAGCAAGAACTGCTCTGAATGGGTTCAGGTAACTGTGCCAGTCTTTGAACATCAGTGGTGCTAACAGAACTGAACTGATACAGATATTGGCATGACACTTCTAGTAGTAGTTATACTTGTGCATACATGTATGCTGTGTAGCTGAATAACTGTGATATTTGGAGATCAGGTGTCACAAAAGTCTAAGTGAGAATGGGTTTGTACTCATAGCAGTGCAAGTACCTGTGAATGCAGGTGTATTTAGAGGTGAATTTTGTTTGCAGTTATTGATGAACAAGCCTAAGAGGTAGCCGTGTATATAACGGTGCATATGTACATGCGAAAGGGACACAAGGACACTTGGAGAAAAACCTAACCTGACACATTTTGCTTTAATTTCAGTCTAGAGCAGGATTTGCCTGAGTGTCAAGCATTTTCCTATGTAACCCAGGACATGACAGGAGGCTGCAATTGCAATCAATAACCACCTTAGTAGGGGTACAGGGCTAAAGGTCCACAGTGCCCTGAATATGAACAACAAAATGCTAGTACCTTTTTCCATATCAACCTGTCTTAGAGCACTGAAGTGGGGAAAGAGGAAAGATCACAGTGCAGATGAGTGGAAGATGAATGCAGTACGCTGTGTGTGATACAGACGGCTCAGGGAAATCTACTCCGTTATTCTCACAAATATCCTCACTGATTTGTGAAATATTGGAAAGAACAACATTTTCTTCTTCCCTGTCACTCTCCACTAAATTCTGGAGATGACAGACGTTATTACGCTACAGTCAAGAGTCTTGATGCGTTTCTAGTCCGACCATATGGAGGATGGTCTAGCGTAAGTATTAGAATATGGTAACATGGACTCTGTTTTCGTTAAAGAATGGTAGCAAACATGTGGCAACAGTGCTGTCTCTTGATCCAAATAGCCATATTTCAGTAGGTAATCGGAAATACCAGCATTTGTAGTCCTCTTTCTTAATAAGACATGGTATTTGTTCCTACTTCATGGAAATAAGATGTTGCTTCTCTGTGCGATAGAGGAGGTGGTTCTGCTGCATGCAGTGATTTCCTTGCCCTACCTGCCCAGGAAGTAAAGCGAAGGCTGGAATTTGAAATGGAAATATTACCACTGCAGGAGGACAATTCGTCTGATACGCATGACAGTGTAAGATTCTGTAATAAGAAGGCATCTGACAGCGACTGGGAACCACAGCATATTACCTAGCTCGTGCTTCCCTGGCAACAGATAAAGCACAGGGTAAAAAGAAATACCCACCCTGTTCTGCATCTATTCAGGACTGTGATATTGTTTGGCTGTGTATAATAATATTCAGATCTGCTGTATCTCATAGGATGAGCCATGGGCACTATACGTGTGCATGGAGGAGCTGCTTTGAGCTGAGTTTCTAGCTATCTTGAAAGCGTAGGCTGGCTGATGAGGCAACTCTTGCACACAATTGATCGTGGACTATTAACCTATGCTCAGAAATCAATATTCACTTAACACCACATTTTAACAGGCAAATGCAGTACAAAACAGTTACACAGTGCACACGTTTACACTCAGAATAAACAGGTCATGAAGTAGAGCTTGGCAGAGGAGGAGACTGGGCAGGCAGCGTGGAAGGGGACAAGGACAACTTGAATATGTGGAGAGGTACAAGGTAGTTGCAGCTCCCAGAGATTTTTGCAACTGAATGTCCCAGGGGTTTTGTGGTCAAAACAGCTTCAATGAGCTATAAGGCCAGGCAAGGTCATCCTTTGCTAGATAAGACTAAATTTACTGGGGTTGAGCACGGAAATCCATCTTAACCCACAAAACCCAAGTCTGTTGCTAGCCATGAAAATAGATGATATATATATAAGTTGCAAGGGGCAAAACAGAAAGGAGCAAGTATATAAACTGTAGTATAGTGTCCTTGATCTGGTGTTTTTCATATACTTAGAAGAATGGATTTGAAAAGGGAACTGACAGTAATCCAGAACTGGTGTTTCCCAGGGACTTTATGTGTATGTTTATTGAGCTTTACTTGCAACCCACCCTAGAGCGCGGACTTCCAGTCTTTAGGATGGTAGGCTGTACTGTGCGCCTCGACGGGCTTGAGCAGTGGACCCATGTGAACCTCGTGAAGTTCAACAAGGCCAAGTGCAAGGTCCCACACCTGGGCTGGGACAATCCCTAATATCAATACAGACTGGGGGATGAATAGAGCGAGAGCAGCCCTGCAGAAAAGGACTTGGCAATACTGGTGGATGAAAAATTGGACATGAGCTGGTAATGTGCGCTTGGAGCCCAGAAAGCTGTATCGTATCCTGGGCTGCATCAAAAGAAGCGTGGCCAGCAGGTCAAGAGAGGTGATTCTCCCCCTCTACTCTACCCCACCCCACCTGTGTCGAGCTCTGGGGTGCCCAATACAAGACAGACATGGACCTGTTGGAGCAGGTCCAGAGGAGGCCACGAAAATGATGAGAGAGCTGGAACCCCTCTCCTATGAAGAAAGGCTGAGACAGTTGGCGTGGTTTGGCCTGGAGAAGAGAAGGTTCTGGGGAGACCTTATTGTGGCCTTTCTATATATAAAGGGGATCATAAGACAGACGGAGACTTTTTACCAACGCCTGCAGTGACAGGACAAGGGGCAACAGTTCTAAACTGAAAGAGGGCAGGTTTAGATTGGACATAAGGAAGAAATTTTTTACAATGAGGATGGTGAGGCACTGGAACAGGTTGCCCAGAGAAGTTGTGGATGCCTCAACCCTGCAAGTGTTCAAAGTCCGGTGGGATGGGGCTTTGAGCAACCTGATCCAGTGAAAGATGTCCCTGCCCATGGCAGGGGGGTTGGACCAGGTGATCTTTAAAGGTCCCTTCCAACCAACCCATTCTATGATCGTATGCCTGAGGAAGAGCCCCAGAAGGTGGGGTGGTAGCACACACTGTGGCAGGTCCCTCCCTGCAGTCAGAAACCGAACCCTGCACAAGTTCTGACAGAACTCGGACCTTTGTTTTAAAATATTGCCCTGGAATATTTGCTGTCTGTTGCTCAAAATGCTAACATGGCAGAAGTGATGGCGGGTACCCTGTCTGCAGAGCTCAGTGCAAACTGATTCAGGGAAAGTCGGGTGCAAGCTGGGGGGAGGTTTTCGATGACTGCCGTTCTGGGTTAAGGCTGTTCCATTCCTCTTTTCTGGAAGCCTTCTGTTTCCCAAAGGTAAATCAGTAATGGAAGGTGCCTGGATATGGAATAAGGTTAATAATATGGGAAGGAAAGATGACATTTATGCCAAATTAACGTGGGCTCAGCAATAGGGGCAGGAACAGAGCCAGAGACGGCCAAGAAATAGCAGCTCCAGAATATACAGAGGAGGCCATAGGCATACTGCTGTGTTTGGAGATGTCTCGCTGTGTCTTCCCTTCAGCCACCTAGGAAATGAAAAGGAGGAATGAATTCCAGTTAGACACGTTTATGCTCAAACGTCTGGCTGCAGAGCCTCCTGTTCTGAGCACTAATGTGAGACTATAGAAAACTCCTGTGGCCAGGCAACACGGCCTCCTATTTCTGCTTGTCTGTGGAAGGAGTAGCTCGAGGTAAAGTGGTCCAGGGTTCTGCATGCATGTAGTATCCCTTGCTTTGATGTCCAAAATCACACATTTCCAGATCCAAGGGTTTCAACTACTGTCTCTAGGCCGTTTGACTTGCTGCTTTGTATAGGCAACAAAGCAATGCATACCTGGGACATTTCTGAAGCAAGAGATGTGCTGGCACTGTCTCCTTGGAAGCTTAGGGAAGACGAATAAAATAAGTCCTCCTGTCTTTCTGGAGCTGTCTGCTTGAGGTGCATTTGAGACCAAATGGCATTTTCTGCAAACAGAAGTAAAGCAAGAGTCTTATTGTGCTTTTCTTGTGCAGACCTTGGAGTCTAGTGAACAGAAGCCTAGGGAAGCTATTTTAGGAAATGCACTCACAGGCTGTGTGGCTTTGATTTAGAAAAGACATATTCTCTGTTCAGTGAATGGCGTGTTAGTTTGTGGGTTTACTTGTGAGGTTGAGCAGACTGCAAAGCCAATTTGCACTGTACTTGAGGACCTCTGGGTCCCTCTGGGACTTTCCCAGCTGTCTGTTTCGTAAGGGGCAGGTATGTAGTATCTCAGATGGGATGTTTAGGTTGTAGGTCTATCTATAGGGCTGGCTGTCAGGCTTTTCTATACAGCAGGAGATAGATAGGTTTAAATATTAATCATTTATCTAATGATGCTGGTTTCTTTAATATCCTTTAGAAGCTTTTACAAACATAAAATATTTAAATCTTATTAAGGTCTGTTGCTAAAATGCTAGGGAGATAAAAGAAATACAGACTTAGGATTACATAGTTGCATGTAACAGGATTTTTGTAACTGCTATGCTGCTGAATCTAATAACGGGCTGGGTCAGGAGCTATTTATCTTGACCAAGTAAGTGAGGGCCAAAGGCGAGCATAGGGAAGGAGCAGGAGGAGGGGAACCCACACCCCATAATCCTGGGGCACTGATGTGGTTACTCAGCAACCTATGGATACAGCATGTCTGACCTCCCCTCGTGATATTTTTGCAACCCCTTCATTTGAATGCTGTCTGGAAATAGCTTCATGGTGTTTGAGATGAACAGAAGTGTTGCCAAAAGATACAGAAACACTTCTGAGAGCAGATCCAGGCTGGTCCCATAGATTGGGTAGGAGATCATGGAGACACTGCAGAAGAAGACAGAACTATATGCAAGAGCAATGCAACGTAGGATCTTGAAATCAACAGGATTTGAATTTCCCTGTGCTGAGCTGTTTCTCTGATTCTCTGACATGATTGATGCTTACCAAGGCATTTGTTGCTCTCAAACATGCCGAGTATCTGGTCACACTTCTCCTTCTGGTTGCCGCTGCTCTCGCATGTACACCACAGGGAGACCTCCACACTGGAGTTACTGACGTAGTTGGGTGTCATGGGCGTGCCTGTCCCAAACCCCCAGAAACTGGAATCAGGATTTACTTCACCAAATGAAAGAAGCCTCGTGAGTCCTATTATGCTAAAGGGAATGCTGCCCTGGAGGCAGAAGCCTTCCCCTGTGATATGCATGTTACCCAGGAGAGGTCAGGAGCCCCTGCGAGGTGACCCAGGCCTGGTGGATCTACATGAAGTCTTGCTGGGCTGTGAGAAAGTGTGGAGATCGCTACCCCTGACTCTGGCAATCTGATGGCGAGGCAGACTGATAACTGAAGCTGGTGCAAGCATTAGATTGAAGGATGTGAAGCATCTGCAGGGACTCAACTGCGGTACTGGCATATGGCAGCAGCAGGAGCTCGCTCTTCTTGTGTAGCTGGCAACTCTGTGTGGCCAAATGCCTTTTGCCAAAGAAATGCTGCACACCTGTAGTGTGCCGTTCTGCCAGAGTTCATTTAGTACAAAACCAGCACAGACATCTGGCAAACTGGAAGGTATAGTCTAGATCTACAGCTTCTGAGATATTGCTGGTCTTTACAGCTCCTCTTTTGAGCCACTCTGAGAAAGTATTAGCAGGTTGGCAGTGAATGCCTAAAACCAAAGATGACCTTCCTTCTAACAGCTGGTAGTGCCATGTTCCGGCTGGCTCCGAGAAGACAGTGTGTACAACACTAACAAACCATCAGGAGTCTGGAAGTCAGGCAGTGAGGGAATGTCATGTTTAATCACTGCTGTGATGGGATGTAACTCCTGCAGCAGGGATCACTTGGTTCATACAGGACCAGAGAGCCCTGTTGGTCAGGCATTTAGGCCCTTTGCACCAGCTGATGATGCAAATGGGTGTTCAGAAATCTCAGGCAAGTGCTGCTGACTTGACAGCAGAGGATGGGACAAAGTAGAGCGATAAATGCCATAGAAGAGCTCTCTTTGGGCTGCATTTACCTCAGAAGCAAGAGGGAGCACTAGCATCAATTAGGCTAAGGCCTAATGGTATACTGAGCACTATCTCCTGCAGGAGAGCAAGATGGTCCTTCACAGCACCAGAGCGTGCCTGCAAGTTTGTGGCCTGAAAGCATCCACCCTGTATGTTCCTGTGGATATCACTTACCAATCATCCCCATGTAAGCCTGCAGGCATGCAGCATGGCTGTGCTGAGAGCAACCATCTGGAGACATGTCTGCAGGTTGACAATTTTGTTGGAAGTCAGCCAGTCGGGATCTGTAGGAAGGAAAATGAGACTATCAGTGTCTATGCTGTTCTCTTCTCTTGGCTAATGTCCGCTGCTGCTGGACCTACTTGCAGATGTGGTCTTCTAAGCAGAAGTCCAGAAGCCAGAGGCAATTGGGTTTCGTGTTATACTGGAAGGAACAATCGGGAACAATAGTTTTCCGGCGTCGTTCTCCACAAAGTTCATCTTGACACGGACAGAATAGGATCCTTTTGGTGAATTCCTCAGGGACTTTCTCAAAGAAATTCCTTAGCCCTCTGTGGCATTTGCGACGGTCACACGTGTCCTCGCTTCCTGCTCCCTTGGTGCAGATCGAGGCGTAGTCTGTGCGCAGACGAACACACTTCTTGCTCAGATTGCAGACATGAGTTGCTTTCAGGCATGGATTTGTTGCATCTCCTGCTAACTGTGAGCCTATAAAGCCAAAAGAAACCCAGAAACAATGAAGCAAGTCTCCAGAAGAGATTCTGTGTGGAAAGAGGAGTAGCCCTTACTTGATGGCCAGATTGGGAACATCAAAAAGAACAAAGCAAACTAGTCCTGCTATGTGCCTGTAGTATGACATTGCAGTTATACTAGTTACAAAATCATATTTTTTATTGGTTCATGTTAGGGTGTTTGTTTCAGAGTTATTCCCTGTTTCATGGGCCTGGATCTGTGGCTATATTTACACGATAGGGGGGACAAATTTAAGCAAGTATCCAGAGCAAGCGTTCCTCTGGTTAAAGGGGCCATTACCCCAAATTGTTGTTCTTAATAATTTTCAGCCCCTGAAAAGATAACAAAGGACAGTATTATATCACGTAACTGTTACAATCCTTACCTGATAACAGAGCTGCCAGTTTATTATAATCTGTCTTCCAGTGTTCTTCATTTGCAGGATTCTCATAGGGAGAGGTCTCCAGATTGAAATAACCTAGGCAAGATACCAGATATTTTATGCAGTGGGAGAAATGCTTTGTGACCAGTTGTTTTTTTTTTAAATTTGATTTTTTTCTTATTTGTGCCTGGCTCTTTCCTCAGGCTGGAGTTCAGAGATGCTCTGTCTTGCTCAAAGCCAAATGCCAAGAATGGTTCTGCTGGAGATGCAAAGGTATTAGTGTGTAAAAACAGCATTACATTTTGTTATCAGATTTCCTCTGGCTGGAATTTGGTCTACATTGTCATTTAGTTTTTTTCAGCCTCAGTACGAGTGAGGAGATGCGCAGCACAGGCGGTCTTTAGTGGGAGGCCAAGTAGAAGCATCCCACTAAAGCCGGAGAGAAGCGGCATGCTCAAGGGTGCCATTACCGTGTGTGTCATAATCACACGTCTCTTTCCAGTGACGGACAGACGTGACCATTTTGAGGTGATTTTCACAGCAGTCTCCCCTCACAGCACTAAATCTAACTGCCTCAGAGGAGCTATCTTTGTCTCTTAGGGTCCCTGGAGCATTTGAAGGGCCGGTCCCAGACCAAGCCAGTTTTCTCTGCTTATCGAACAGAGCAGTAACGAATTCTCTTCACTAGGAGATGTGGTTGCAAAGCGATACCTGCAGTGTTGGGAAGCGGCCTTTCGCAGTTGTTTTCAGATGGGGGGCAAGGGTGAGCCTTACTAGTAAGTACCTTGTAAATTCGTATTATTTCATCTCACCATCTGCCATGCTGGAGTGAACGGTCCAGAAAACGCGTAAGCAGTGCTCCTGCCTCTTCATGCGCCGGTGACACCTGCAGTGCAGCAAAGAGCTGTTTCCGAGGTCTAGCTCTGCATTCAGACATCTGACCCTGCTGTCGTGATCCAGCGGAAGGATGTGAGTCTTAGCCAGGGCACAATGTTCCAGGATCCTGTAGGTGGCATTGCAGGTAGAGTCCGAGAGGCACAGTTGTTCTGCTGCTATGCAGTCACTCCTTGGCAGAGCCAGGAGGTCTCCTGGTCAAGGAGGGAAAAGATTGTTAGGACGGCAATCAGGACGAATGCCACACAAGCACTTTGTTGTTGTTCTGTAGGCATCCTATATTCAGTAAGGACTCCTCTCAAGAGGCAGAACTGGTTGGGGTCTTTCATATGGAGTAGTAAGGAACAACAGCTATCTCCATTTAGAAACAAAAGGATGAGTATTAACGTATGAAAGATGGAACAAAAGGTTAAAGAAAAGCCTCAAGAATAATTTTGTTTAATAAAACCTTTTTTTATCACCCTTAACTCTTTCAACTTGGCCAGGATCAGGGATGGCTCTGTATTTTATGGAGTAGTAAATCCCTCTGGAAACCTCTGGGTGGCTGAGGCCTGCTTTGAAGAAGCTCTTCTACCTGGGTAGTGAAAACGGCAGTGCAATGAGCACATAGTAACGCCATACTGTGCGCTGTACATCCGTGCTGCTGCCATTGCTGAAGTGTATACTGGTCATGAAGAGATGTGCTGAGAAAGCCACTTGTAGGGTGTAAAAACAACTACTTTACTGAGCTTGGAAACTTAAGAATGCATATTTTTTGCACAATAGAATAAATCCTTAACCCTAGATGCAAGTAGCTTCATATAGAAGGGCTGATATGCAATCAATTTAAGTATATAGAACCCAGTCCCTGAAATCCCTGCCAAAAATGCTGGGATGCAGGCTTGGCCTGCCAGCTTTCATCTGTTGGTTGACCGTGAACTCTGACTATATCTCGGTGTATGTGTGTGTATATTTGCGTAACACATGCATTGATTATATATATATATATATATATGTATACACACACACACACACATGCACCACCTTATGTTGGAAGTATTAAATAATCTCAGTTTAACAATATAATCTTTAAAACTAGACTTTTTTTCAGCTTTTAAAAATTTTTATATGGACTGTGGTCTCCTAAGGGTAATACTGGGTTGATACCTAGGGTGATGTTGTCACAGGTAGGTGAATTCAGTCCATAATCTTTCTTCGTTTCTGTAGTATATGAATCTGTGTTTACAGTAAAAACATAATGAAGACCTGGAACAAGACTGTTTGCCAATAAAATTTATATATAGGCTAGTATGTTTCTTCCCTTCAGGACAATATTGCTTGGCTAGTTTTAGGAAATGACTGCGCTGAGCCTTACATCTACCTTTAATGTTCTTTGGGTACATGATCTTACCTATCATCCTCTTGCTCGGCAGGTGCAGTAGTGTTATTTCAGTCTGCCTTCACTACAGATTAGAAAAAAAGTCTTGGTGCAGCTCATCATATGACCTGGTATACTGTCTTCACCATCTAATTTGTCTCTCACTTCCTTCACTTTTGCTGGCTTCATCAGCTTATTTGCTGTAAGCAGTAGGCTGCATAATTCTGTGCTAGTCTGCTTCTCAAACTTTCTACTTTTCCTACAGCCCGGTAAGGTTATCTAGGTGTCTGTCTCACTTGTACAAATTTCTTTGCTTTTCAGGCAACTTCTTGTACTTTGTTGTTCATCTGGCTGTTATGTACAGACTGTGTGACTTTGTAAGCTCCCTGAAAAACAAATCTCTCATCAGAAATGCTTTGTACCCAGGACAGTGGGTTTTGGTTAGGCATCACACCCAGGCACAACCTTAATGAACGCTCCGAGTGTGATTACATCCCGTAAGGCTGCAATCAGTGCCAATTCCCAATAGCAAATCGGTCCACTCTCTCCAGTAGCTTTTGGAACTCTAAACTGAGCGAACTGCTCTACCCCACCAGGCCAGACCAAAGTATCAGCTCCCCCAGTATCCCATCTCCAACACCGGCTCGCAGCAGCTGGCGTAGGAAGTTCCTACAAGGACAGAAGGTGCTTTCCCAGCCTTAAGAGCTCTGCTCAGCAAGCATCTGAGCTTGACGTGACGTTTCTAAAACTTTATAGTGACACGGTATTTGCCAGGGTAGAGCAGAGCTGGGTGTAAGCGCGTGGACTGTGTTTCTACCACAGGCCTGTACCAGATGCTTCAGGTGAAGCTGCTGAAAAACTCAAATTTAAAACAGTCCTCCTCTACAGACATCATTTAATAGCTGTGCATTGTCTTAAGCCCTAATACTTGACATGTTGTTTCATTTTTTAAAACCTTGTCTTAGTATTCCGGATAATAATGTGAAAGAATGAGAAAGGTAATTCTTTCCTAGACCCATGGTCTAGGTTGCAGAACACGTTAAAGATGCATGTGTAGGGGAGTCCCTTCTCTAGTTTAAAAAAAAAAAGTTAAAAGGTAATAATCAATTCACAGACTATGATTATTTATACCTTAGAAAAAAGGGATAGCTAATACAATATCCCTTTATTCTCCCTCTTCACTCCACGTCCCGTCATATCTATCTATCTATCTATCCACACACATGTATTATTTTGATGCCCCTGGTGCATGGTGCTGTTGAAAGAGAGGACGACTGCAGAAGGGAAACCTTTCCTTTATTAAGCACAGTTATCAAAGAAGCATTAGTATTTGGACGTGGAAAATTGTGGGAAATCTACTGTAATCATGTGGCTGCAAGTGCTACTGAGGTCTCGGTGCAGTAGCCCATTTTTATAGCAGTCACCGTGCTAGCGATACAGCAGCTTTTTCTGAGTGTCAAGCACTGACATCCCATAGCCAGGGTCTCGGAAAGCTTCAGAGCAGTTTCGTAATTTCTGTATTTCTAGTCACATCAGCCATGAAGACTGCACAAGAGATGAAGTGGAAGGGGGAATAATTTCTCTCCTCGGCTTCAGTGCCTTGGCAGTAGTAGAAGGCGGAGTAGAACAAACAGCTCCATCTCTGCAGGAGCTCCTTGGATCGGTCTTTGCAAACTGAGCCTCAGCTCAGAAAACTCAGCCTGGAGCATTTCAGAGGGGGAAGGGAGGGAGGGTAGGTATCAAAAAAAGCTTTCGGCAAAGTCATTGGGAGCGAGGTACAGCAAGGACTGCGGGCAGGTCCGGCTCCGGCAGATGCTGGCTTCGTGCCGTTTCTGCCGCGCTGGGGGATCGGCCCCCGGCAGCCCCTGGCCGCTGCGAGCGAGGGGAGCGAGGGTCCCCCGCCGCCTCCTCACGCCTTGCCCCGAGGGCAACCGCCTCCCCTGCCCGGAGCCTCCCTCCACGTCGGTCACAGCCACGTTTCCCCCCCCCCCCCCCCCCCCCCCC